TGCGCTCCCTCCATAGCAGATAAGTGGTTCGGAATGTTCCGCAGTACGAAATTATGCTTGCGTTTAATTCGTTCCTCAGTTTCCGAACTTATTACCCCAATAAGTTTAAAAGCTTGTTCAAGCACTTTTTCAGAAGTGCTGTGTATGTCTCCATAAATCAGCTGATTGATTATTTCGCCGGCTGATGGCCTGCTACGACTAGCAGAGGCGTATTTTTGGACGACTGAAGGGTCGAGAGGTTCTACATGTACTAAAGATGTATGCGGTTGTTGAGTTTCTGAATGATAAATCTGTGGCGGCCGTGCCGAAGTGTTGGTTCCACAGCAATGACTGTGTGATGTGGGTTAAGAACCACAAGCTACGTGACCGTCTACTTGTGAATAACGAAAGGCCTCCAGAAGGCACAAAGATTTACCCGGTCCGTATGCTGAAGAATGACCTCTCACTCGACAGAGCGCTTCAGCTGGAAAAAAAGGCTGTAGACACTGACGAGCTTTCCCACTCAGAGCCTACCGAATTCGGCCGAGGGATGAGGAAAAAGTAAGTGTTTGCTTTTCATTAATTTATCTTTGTAGGTTTGTCCGCCAGCTCACCTCAGACGACGACGAGGATGATGATGATGAAGAATTAGCTGCGCAAAGACCGAGACAAGATAATCAATTAACTGCCTGGCCCACGCCGCCACGCATTCTCCAGTAAGAATCCGTGTATATTATGCCAACTTTTAGACCACGCAATAGCTCGGAAAATACACCTTGGTGGAGAGACTCAAGCCAACCTACGCCACCAAGGGCTAATCAGTACGCCGTTTCTTTTAAAGTTTACTTAAGGCTGCCCCGGGAACCCAGCACGACCGCGTTTGACAAACGGTTATCACAGGTGCAGCACGATGTTGAATGCGTCCGGTAAGACTGTTCTGACTCTTGATGACATGCGAGTAGAAAGAAAGTTGATTACGTTGCTGAGGAACTCGTCGAACTACGGGCTGACATAACGCAGGTTAAGGCTACAATGGCCGAAATTTTAAAGGCCATTCAGGAATTACGTATGTCAGCTGAAGCGAGGCCTCCTTCACTGAAGTTGCCACTGTGTACGAAGGAGGCTTACAAGGCTTTCGTCAGTGAGCTTGAGAAGAATGCTAGTTTCGCTCAAGACGCGGTATGTACATATACAGACACTTCCTTATTTGAATGGATTGTAGATTAAACGTCTGGCGATTACAGACGGGCGAAACGAGAAAGAGTTTGTCAGAAATCTACTGACCACTCTACTCGGCCACCCCCTATGCCTCAGTTTCTGCTAAGGCGGAGCAAGAGATAAGCAGGCCTTCGTCGGCAGCCCCCCTTATGGCCTTGTTATTGGTAGGATATTTATTTTTAAGATTACTTGTTCAGCTGCAATTCGTGAACACGCCGCCTTCTCAAATTGCACCGTTGACACAATTCGCAAGAGCACAATTGATTGGTTCCACGGCGCGCGTGACAGATACGGTGGCCGATCAAAGCGGAGAGACAATACCACTGCAAATGCCACGGTAAATTAATTGACTTGAGTCTTTATAAGCCACTTTCAGCTTCCCGTCAGCTACAGCTCAGCCGAAGAATATATGATACAATCTACTTCCGAGGACACTGTAAGTGAGCGTTTCTTTATATCTATTAAACCTGCATTTATTCGAGCCTATCAACTTCAAACTACTTTAGATCATAAAATATACTACTAAAATGCCCTATTTCAATAGTATGTTTTTGACAATTTAATTAATAGGACGCTGTGCTTTATTTTATTGTAGATACCCGCCACCGACATGGACGGATTACCAAATATGTCCCTTGAGGAAACATGACAGTTTGTACATATCAAATTTTTATCTTTATCGATCAATAAATTTTCTTTAACCTATAAATTGCGTTCAAGTGTGCTGATCGATATGGTTCGTTGGGGGGTTCGCAATCACGCGTGAAGGTCCGCTAACGGTCGCGGGAGATATTGGCTTTGGGAAGGCGAGCCGGAATGAAACATGACATATTTGGCAAAATGGGGTTCGCTAGAAGGTAACAAGGGATAAAATAGGACAGATACCGGGGAAAATGTGTCTAGGAAAAGGGTGATCAGGATTATAACGCGAGCAATTAGACGTTAATGGATCGGTATTACGGTCAGACAGTCTAATATGGCCGTGGGTGGGGGCAAAAAACGATAACTATAAGGCGTCCCCCTGCGCATTTTTTTGTCGATGAGGGGGCCAGAGGGGGCCACATCGGGGATTTGCCTCGCCATAGCCCCCTCTCCAGCCCCCTCATAGCCCCCTCTGGCCCCGCCATAGCCCCCTCATGAGTCAGGGCCATGAGGGGGCCAGAGGGGGCTGGTGCTGGCAGGGTAGTGTTTTAGACTTAATTTTTACTAATTACATCTTTCCTTTATCGGTGGATTTCTATCATGACGTTTTTGCAAATGATCGTGCAAGTGACAGTGCCCAAGGGGCGCTATAATAAACCTATTCTATTCTATTTTATTAATCCATTGTCGCCTTCCAGTTGCCATTTCCGCAAAGCTAAAAGTACAACGTAGTATTTCTGACTTTACTTATATTAGCAAGAAATTAGTAAATAACTTTAAAAGCACTCTTGATTGGCACAATATTTTTTATAAAATAATGATCGACCTTATTCCTCGGAAGATGTTCAAATCGTGTGCTAATTCCACCACTGTCCCACACATTCTTAAAAACAGACTTAAAAAGCTACGGAATGAGTTTAAAGATCCTTCTGTGATCTCATTAACGGTTATCTTATAATCCTTGAAATATTTGAATTAGTTTCGAAAATGAGGCTTGCGCAAAATGGGTGTTCGGAGTATTTGGATATTATTGACGTGAATGCTTCTAAATCAGTTCCTCGGATCTTTCATCAACTGTCATCTCCTAAATCTCACCAAGTCATTCCGTTTTCGCTTAGTACCAAAGATGCCTTTCTTACGGATGAGTCAGGCAAAGCATAAATAATAAATTCGCGCTTTGCCAAACATTAAACCATTAAAACTGACCCACTCCCCGTAATTCCTCCGTTGTCTGATGCTTCTCTCAGCATCATTATTTTTTCTCCTGAATGAATTAAGAAACTGATAAATCACTTTGCTAATTCTCACTAAGTAGGTACGGACAATATCCCAAACTCTAGGAGCTTTTCCTCCTCTGCTAAACAAAATCTTTCCACTATTTCTCGTAAATGGCTTCTTTCCTGACTATTGTAAAACTTCTATTATTATTCCAGTATTTAAGTCGGACTGTCATTCTGGCGTTTATAACTATCGAGTTGTCCATAAAACACCTTCTTTCACCTACACCTTTGAAAAAATTATCGCCTTAAAAATTACCGACTTTTGCATAGCCAATCAAGTTATTAGCCCTTCCCAGCATGGTTTTTACCAGGACGCTCTTGTGAAGTAGGTTATCTGTCGTTTCTCAATCTCTTTACTTCTCTTCGTAATGACCATCTATATCTTGACGCTGTTTATTTTGATCTTAGTAAAGTCTTCGATAAAGTTAAACTAGAAGCTCTGGGAATTCGCAGTCCCCTTAAAGACTTTGTCAAGCCATACCTGTCTAATCGTAAACAAAATGTTTTAGTTGGATGTTCGCTTTGCAATAAAAGCCCTATTGTAAATGGTATTGTGCAAGGTACGATTTTAGGTCGTCTTTTGTTCTTGCTTTACATAAATGATATCTCGGCGGCAGTTAAATATTCTCAATTATTTATTTATGCCGGTGATCTCAAATGTGTGTATTCTTTCAATAAATCTACGAGCCTTCATTGCCTGGACTAAATGCATGCCGACTTGCTTGCTCTCTCAGCTTCGAGCTCAAACTGGCTAATTGAATTCTCTCCCTCTAAATGTCGCTATTTGTGTTTTGGACCTGATAGGCTACCTATACCAGTGGTCTTTCAAGGCACACCTATGACTGGATGTACTTACATGAAGAATTTGGGCTTAAGCTACACTATTAATCTTGATTTCTCGCCACACGCTGACAGAATTACATTCAAAGCTGCCCAGATATGTGGCTTTATTTCTTACAATTTCTATCCTTCTGAAATCAAATTTAGACTTTATCGTACGTTTTTACTTCCAATTCTCGAGTATCGTTGCCCATTCTTTAATTTGATGAGCAAGCCTAGTCGTTGAAAAATTGAGAATATCCAAAAATGCTTTACTACAAAACTTTTAGACAAGGAACATCCAAATATCTCATACTCAGAGAGATGTTAACTAATAAACTTAAACTTTTTATGGGTTCAAAGACTAGAAGAAGGCATCTGTCTACTCTTTCGCATTAATAATAATAATTCGAATCTCCCTCGACTTTCAGCACTTATCCCCTAGTAGTCGCCCATACAATCCTCGTAACGCTTCCTTGACTATACCTCCTCCAGCTTTTTTGCACCTCCAAGCGCTCTCCATTTCTAGCTACCAGATATACTTTCCCCCGGAATAACCTTCCAACAAATATAAGATCTCTATATAATCAACACACATTTAAGAGAAGGCTACGCCTTTATTTGAATACTGACTCGATTATACTTTTATTTTTTTATCCTTCCCGGACACCTTTCTCTATAACATTGACGCCATTAGATTTCCGTATACGCCCACATTTCCTTCTTTTTTTAATAGTATCGCGTCCTAGTATCCTTCATCAAAGTGTTAACCTCAAAGAATGCGATCTATCGACACTCTCGGCTGAACCTTCTGTATCTGCGATACACTAGTAGTCTGGTCGCATCTCCCTTGCGGCCTCCTCGGCTGAATTTGGCTGAATGTAAATGATCGCATTTGGGTTTCTCTTGCCACGATACAGATTTTATATTCGTCATTTTAACATGAATGACCTCATCCGGCATATGAATTCTCCCATGGGAATTCCCGACACGCGCCTTTTGTTCAAGTCTATATGCTGGCCTGTCCTGTCTGACCCGCCTAATTACCCCTCCATGAAAGCCGTCATAGAATGTCATTTACGGTCCTGTCACGCCTGCTTTTTATGTATTAAATAGCGGAAGTTTTTTCTCCTGTAGTTCTGCTCCAATCATAGTTATTTTGTTTATTTCAGTTTATTCAGTTAATTTGGTAAGGATAATAGGCAAAGCCTTTGAAAACCCTATTTATTACATGTCAGCTCGTTAGAAATAACTGTACGCTAACAAAAAATATTCACTATTAAAACAGTACTTGATTGATTTGAGTAGCATTGTATCTGAGAAAATATTTGTGGAGACGTGGGGTCTTAAGTCAGATTCAGACTGTCGAGGGAAAACAGGGGACACAAATAATCATCCAAGCGTTTCTTGAAGAGTTTCAGAGACGTAGCCTCCACGACTGACTGAGGGAGATCGTTCGATTTCTCCACTACCCTCTGCGTGAAAAATTCAGAACGAAGATTCAGCCTGGACATTGTTGTCCGTAACTCCATCGAGTGACCACGAAGATTGGGGGAAAGGTGCCACTGAAACATGTCCTCAAATGTAATTCCATACTCAAGGCCATGTATTAACTTGTAGACGAGAATAAGATCAACTTTTTGTTACCTGTAACACAGAGGGAATAAATTAAGGCAACTCAGTCTGCCTGTGTAGGATTGGCTTTTTAGACCGTTTGCCAGCTTTGTTGTACGCCGTTGTACCCGTTCGAGGCATGCTTGG